TATTTATACAATCTTGTTTTTCAAAAGTTATACTGTATTGTCACCATAAACGATCTGATGTTTAGTTGAGATAGTTGAGGTGTTGGAGCTTTTACTGATACAACAGATGATTCTGGCTGCAACCAGCCTCCTATCTGGTGTTTTTACTTTCCTCTGTGGTACTAATGTCTGCATGTACCAAAACACAACAATCCTGTAAGAGCTGTTCCTATGTCTGCTGGGAGCAAGAAACAGAGGAGCCTGGGTTCAAATTTGAAATCTTCTATTGTTTCATAAAATAAGCAAATAATGTGAGAGCATGTTTAGTTGACTTAAAAAATAAAATATCAGCAACAAGTAGTTTTTATAACTGCTCCTTTCTGCTGACAGAAATTATTTGTAACAGCACATGATGTTATATCCTACACATTTTATATATAAGTCAATTTTATCCTGTATAACTAATATAATGATGAAACAAACAAAATATAACAATAGTTTATACATACATGTGTGTGTGTGTGTGTGTGTGTGTGATGAGGGGCAGAATTAGCTGCAGACTTGTCTGGCAGAGAGAGGGTTTTTCTGACTCTCTCTCCCTCTCTCTCTCTCTCTCTCTCTCTCTCTCTCTCTCTCTCTCTCTCTCTCTCTCTCTCTCTCTCTGTGGAGGAAAAAGAGAAAGTTGGATCTCAGTGATGGCTGATGTGCTGCTGGGAGGAATGCGCTTTTGTCGCTCGCAGGGGGCGGAGCCGAGAAGTGATGCGAGCTCTGCTGCCTACCAAACAGAGAGAGGAGAGAGACGTGTGGGCAGGAAGCTGCTCCTCACCCAGCAGCACACCATGGTTGTAGAGAAGAGTCCTGGAATCAAACTGGCTGCTTGAATATTTTTATTTTATTTGTTTGTTTGTTTCCATCAGCTGACAGCAGCTCCTCTCTCCAACCCAGGAGGACTTGACTCACAGGAACATCTGCTGTCAGCCGTGCTTTACCTTCACTTTCCCCACATCAGGAGCAGAAACTGTTTGAAGCCCGGAGGTTCTGACTGGACTCAGACCGACCTGCAGCTCCTCTCTGGCGGCTCTCGCAGACCCTAACCCCCCCTGGCACTGCTGGAGGAAGAGGAGGAGGAGGTTTATTTGGGACTTTATTTTTTTCTGCACCACTTATTCATCAAGTGTAACAACCTTTAATGCATGAAGCCTCTTGTTTCCTCCTTGTGCCCGTGTTGTTAGGCTCTGCTGGGATGTGTGAGGGTCTCTGTGTGGAGGGGTGAAGAGAGGAGGACAGAGGAGCAGCATGGCTCTGGCAGCGCTGGCTCTTTGGGTCCTAACAAGTCTCACCTGGGGGGACGTGCTCCAGGTGTCCGCCAACAGGCATTCGGTTTACTGGAACAGCTCGAACATACTGTAAGACCCCCACCCACCCACATACCCCACCCACATCAACACTTCTCCTTCATTCTTATTAACTCTGTGTGCTCCTTCTCTTCACTCTGATGCTCGGGAGTTTGATTTTTATTCTTGTTACTAACAAATAATTCATGCTAGATCTGTTCTGTGAGGTTTTATGGACACACACACACACACACACACACACACACACACACACACAC